TTTTAATAAGTACAAATAATTAAATCTAACTTTTCCATATCTAGATGAAATAAAGTTGTGTTTGTTAAATTCAGGGATTAAATTAACATTTTTAAAAATATAACCAACCCTTAATATGCTTAATTTTTTTAAATGTTTTATAATAGACTCCTTATTTTCTCCAAATTGATAATTAAGAATATAAAATTGATTAATTGGAATAGAAAATGTATTATTTAAATTTTCTTTTGCCCACATAGCTAATTCATCTTTATCTTCAAAGGTATTTTCATCAATAACAAAAAAATGCTCTTCTTTTAAATTACAATCTATAACAAACATCTTAATTAATTCAATTAACAAATCTTGAACATTACTACCATTGTTATTTATCTCATCAATTAAATTTTCTAACTTATTATAAAATTTTATAAAATAAAGTGCTCTATTTAGAAATAAAACAAAACCATTAATTATTATTAATTTTCTTTCTATACCTTTTTTTTTATGATTCAGTCCTACTTGGTTAAAAACTTCTATTAATAATATTTCATAAAATGATATGTTGTTATTTTCTTTTAAAACTGTTAAACATTTTTCACTAAAATTTCTTTTTTTTGTAAAATTAGTAGTTTTTTTTTAAAGTTCTTTATAGAATTTTTTATCTTTTATTGTCAACACTCTAGATATAATTTTAGTTACAATTTCTTCAAAATCTATTGGGTTTTTATTGTAACATTTAAAAATCTTTAAACATTCATCTTTTTTAAATTCATGAAATTTCAAAAAGTTGTTTTTTTTAATCAAACTGATGTATTTGTTGTAATTTCTAATATTTTCTCTAGTTTGATCATCATAATTAGATTGGAATGTGTGGTTGATTTTAAAAGAATATTTCATATATTTATTATTATTTAGTCTTATTCGGTAAAAACAATCTTCATGTTTTCTTTTTCTATTTTTAACCTTTGTTTTTTTATTTTCATCATCAATTTTCATTTCATCACCAACAGTTTTTATTTCATCATCAATAATAACATTCTCATTTAAAGAACTTTGTGTATAACAATTAAACTCCTCATTATTAAAAGGTAACAAAAAATCAGGATCAAATAATTCATCAGTATCTCCAGTATTATTAAATGAATTTTCTTCAATATTACTAAAAGAATTCAATTCATCAAATGAATTGTTTTCTAGTTCTAAATGAGATTCATTTTCTGTTGAAAAATCACAAGCACCGCTCTTAAAATTTATTTTACAGATTAAATTTAAAATCATGGGGTGTAATTTTTAAATTTTTAATAAATTACAACACAAAAATGATTTATAAATTCTAAATTGTCGAAAGTTGAAACAATGTAATTATAATATTAAAGTGATTTTTAATTCATTTTTTATAAAGTTATAAACATTAATCAATTATTTTTGATCAAATTTAATAATCAAAAATATTATTTTTATAAAAAAGTTCTAAGTGTTTAATTAATAATCATTTAATAGAAAAGGTTGATGTTTTATCATAACATTTCATTATATAAAATTATTTTAAAAATTGATTGATAAAATTTTATATTAAAAAGTTTTTAATTACAACTAAAAAATAAATATTTATTTATAATAAAAAAACCAATGATATCTTCATAACTAGATAGTACTCATTATAATAATATTGATAACAGAATATAGGATTGAAGATTTCTGTTTATCGAATTTTAAATTATTATTAGAGATGTTCTCTATGCTAATGTTAAAATATTTTTAAATCCTGTTTCTATTTTTTATTGATTTTTAATTTTTTTTCTTATTTAAATACTCCGTAACTATGAAAAATAAAAAATTATAATCAAAACTTTAAATTTTAAAATTTTCTCGGGATTATAACAAACAAAATAATACACTCACCCACCTTTTATTTTCATATTCTTTATAAAAAAGTTATAATCATACACTCTTTTAATCAAATTTATTTTTAATTAATAAAAAAATAAAAAGAAGTAATTATCAATATCCCTCACTGCAATTTGTTTTAAATCTAAAATACAATCAATCATAATTCAAATGTATCTATTGTTTTTTATAGATAATAAAATACATAAATTGATCAAATATTTGAACACATTAACATCTTTATTTTATATCTACTTACTTCTTCTATCTTTTTAAGTGCCTCATCAAATTTTTTAATAATAACATCTTGGTTCATGTCACTTACTATAGGTATTTTCTTTAATTCTGAATATTACATTTTTAAATTTAAATAGATTATCATATTGTTTTATAATTTGAAATTTATCACATAAGATAATTTTAATCTAAAGAACCAGATCTAATTAATATATTTACATTATTAGTACTTAAAATTTTTGTTTCTATCATCTTAAAAATTTATATTACTTTCATGATTAATAATCAAATTGTTCTTTAAATAGCATGTTTATAAAATATCTATTAAAAATTTACATTTTAAGAATTGTTTTTTTATTAAAAAAAATAATTTTCTTTTTTAATTATTGATTTGTTATAATGAAAAAGTATTAATTATTTTTTTTTATATCAAATAACAAACTAATTAATATAATTAAAACTATCAAGTATAAAAGTTATTTGTAATATATTTTATTTAATTATTTATATTTCCTGTTTTTAAAAATTCATAATAGAAATTCTTAATTGCATTTTCAGATCTGTTTTTTAATCCTTTAGCAATACATTTCCATTTATCACCAAATTTATATTTTAACTTAATAATTTTGATTTTTTCTTTCTGAGTGAATGGTGCTTGGTTTAGAGATGGATTTAAATCATTGTTATACCTGTCTTGACATTGTTTTTTAGTTTTTCTTAACATACACTTATCTATTATATCCCAATCATAAGTACCATAATTTTTAATTAGTAATAACAATCGTTTATCTTCTTCTCTTGTCCACTTAACTTTTTTTGATGATCTTCCTTTATTTTTTTTATTACAGTGACTTTTAGAAATAATCCTTCTATGTTCTTCTAATATATATTGATTGGTTATATAATCAAACGAAATATGGTCATTATTTGATAAATCTTCATTATATAAATGTGTTATATGTTCACTGTTATTATTATTTCTATTGTTGTTAAGTGTATTATTATCAAATATTAGATCTTGATAAAAATTATATGATTGATTATTTATAAAACTTTGTGAATGATTAAAAATATTAAAGTAGCTATTTAAGTGTTCTATACCGGTTAGTATGTTATTTGTCTTTATTTGATATTGACAGATGATTGGTTCAGTATTTTGAATGGTATTATCTTCATTGACTTTAGAAAGATCTTTTTTGCTTTCATCAAACTTTGAGGTGTTTATACATTCATTATCTTTCTTCTGTATTACTTTATCAGACTTTAAATCACTATCTTTGTTATTTATAACACTTTCACTTTTAAACAAATCTCTTACCATTTATGTTTAAATAAATAAACAAAATTATTTTATATGAAAATGAAGCATTTTACCTCCAAAAATGTATGAAATGCATAAAAATTTATTATAAATTATATTAAAATAAAGTTTTTTATTAATAATAATTTTTTAAAAAAATTACAGTACTCAACTTTCCCGGATAGTACTTGAATGAGCTCTAAAAGACTTATTTACCGAGATCTAATGGGTTCGGAAGTTTTACTTTGGATATGACCGTAATTAATTTAAATTGTAATAAAATATAAAATATTTTGAATACTTACTCTTTATTTTAATTATTTAAAATATTTACTTTGAAGTAAACTTAAACAAATTTTCTAATAAAATTCTTTTATTAAATCACATATTTCATAAAAGCTCATTTTCATTTCTTTATTAATAATATTTTGAATTTCTATTTCAATATTAAAGTACTCTAATAAAGCC